GAATAGACAAAGGCCTACCTGGTCCAAACAGTACATAATCCACACTAGTCACCTATTTTAACTTAAATGTAACCAACAGGTCATTGCCTATTAGGAAGTATTGCAGTATAACTTAGACTACTCTGTAATCATTTTTGTGGGAGTTGTGGGTCTGGAAATGAGAAAAATACTGTACTGCACTTTAAATATCACTGCTCATCATTGGCTAGAAGGAGAATAGACAAAGGCCTACCTGGTCCAAACAGTACATAATCCACACTAGTCACCTATTTTAACTTAAATGTAACCAACAGGTCATTGCCTATTAGGAAGTATTGCAGTATAACTTAGACTACTCTGTAATCATTTTTGTGGGAGTTGTGGGTCTGGAAATGAGAAAAATACTGTACTGCACTTTAAATATCACTGCTCATCATTGGCTAGAAGGAGATTAAAATTCTTTGGGGTGTCTCTTCTATCTGTCCTGATAAACCGTCATCTTTTGAAATCAGGCACGTAACCAAGTTTATAGACTTGTCAGCTTTATTCTTATGTACTTGAATGGGGATGCGTCTTTTCAAAGGACCCTGCTCACTTTTTAAATGTTTGGGATTCCAACTCAAAATAATGTAGTCCAGATCTAATCTTGGAAAAAAATGTCTAGTTATGGTTATAAGCACAAAACCACAAATACATGATTGCGAGTATTCGTCTGGCTAGACCTTTCATAACCATTAAGTTCCTGTTAAAAAGAAGCAATAAATAAGGAAAAAAATGGTTGAGAAGAAAAGAAGAAGAGAGAAAGGGAGAGAGAGAGAGGGATTAGAGTTCAGTTAAAACTGTATTTCCAAGTTACATATGTTAGTAAAAATTATTATTAAATTCGAATGATAAGAATTTTTCTTTTTTGTTTGGACAATAACCGGTTTTGCACAAGGTGATAATCGGTATAGTCATTTGATTATCTAAGTAATAACATATGGAATAATAGCCAGATTGCTGCATTTAAGACGTCTATAAACGAATAGGCGTACATCCATAAATGCTGCTCAAAAAAAGTTGCTTATTTTTGTCACACATAGGAGACTCCAGCATGATATAATATTGAAAAATAATATATAAAATAGATGAGATTACGGAGTTTAACTCAAACCTGTACCAAAGTTGGAAAGCTTTTGTTTTAAATAAACATAAAATTATTTTACTATAATTAAAAAATAATTAAACACGACGTTTAGTAAATATTTAAAACTGGTAAGGCAGGCAAGGCTTGCGTCACAAAAAAGATTTATAACTGTCTAATAATTAATAAAACCAAAAATAAATAGTAGAATTTTTAACGAGGTTAGTAACCGAGGAATAGCACAAAGTGGCTTTATGTTTCGAGTAAATGTATTTTATGGTAAGTACTGTTACTCGATTACCAAGCGCCTTGATCGAGATCGTTAAAACTTGTATTGAATTACTTCGAAATTGTTTTGTCATCTAAATTTGCTCAATTTATTATAAAATAATTTGCTTCTGCACATCACGATGTACTGGTGTTTCATTTGAACTTTTTGTTGCTAGCTTAACTTTCTCGATTATTATTAACGTTGTTCATCAGTATCATTTAGTTTATATCCCATCATTGCAATGTTTTGGTGGTATTAAAAAACTTTTTATTTTTATATCTATCAAAAAGAACTTGGAAATTTAAAATGAAACAAAATATTTAATTATTCCCAATATTTAATTTTACCCAATTATGAAAAAAATTCTTATAAGCGCTTTCCAGGATGACCTTCAATACCACTAATGCATCTTCCTTTATGCGATCTTTCGATTTAAAACGTTTTCCTTTCATTTATATACGGATATATAGATGGATAACTTCTATATTTTAATTTTAATTGTATTATATAATATATATAAATGTCTGGTGGAGAGCTAATCATATATCTAATCTTAATCTAACCAATATACAACTTTAGCCAAAAGTATTCTGACTTCACTACCAGGTAAATCCTTAAGGCGCTTTCAAGAATTTACACCATTTGATGCTTTCACAAAAAGGTTGACCCACCTGGCAGCAGCTGCCATTAATTTTTTCTTAAAATTTCAACGCCATGTTTCAACATTCGTAAAAGCTACGTTGTCTATTCCGTAGAAAATAGAGAATGCGTTTTTTATTTTCCATTATTTTAAAAACGGATTCGATTTTGCAACAACGAGTTTGCATAAAATATTGTGTAAATAATGAGACGAAGGCATTAAAAATATTGCCTAAGTGTTTTAGCAAAATCAAACGTTTATTTATGGCACGTTATGTATGTTATTTGAATAAAAATTATTACTGACATTTTTAGTCTATTTTTCTTATTATTATTTTCGAATTTTGCCTGTGAACAAAAATCTGTTCACCTGTGAACCTGTGAGTTTATACAAAAATCCTTTCAAAACCTAACCGGTGAAAACCATGATTAAATTCTCTTCACAAATATATAAACATATTTCTAATTCTTTATATGCCAAAAATTGCAAAAGTATTTCATAAATTAAATTTTAAAATTAATTATCCCTAATCTTTTTAAATTATTGTGAATTCATATTTTTAAATTTAAAAACTATTTATTTTCTTTTAGTTTTTAATTTATTGTTGCCTTTTGTATTTTGCTTGTTTTTTTATTATTTTTTTTATTGTTACAGAATAATGAAATAATTATAATTATTTTTAAGGAGTAGAGGAAAGGCAAAGTATATCATATTTTTTTAATTTCAATTCATAACGATTAGTAGATTAGTTTTACAATAAGTTTTGAACTTATACGAATTAAACATGTTTTGATTATATGTGCTTTTTAACATATAATATAAGCAATCTTTTTTACTAAATTTTCATATATAAATTGCATAAAAAAAATAGGCGGAAACATTACATATTAAATTATACAATTATTATTTTTTTTAATACAATTACATGCAGAGAACTTTACAATAAATAGATATTAGTCAAATTTTAAATAATTTAAATTAGTCCATATATGATAAAAAAAAATGCATTATTTAATTTTTCTAAACACAAAATTGTAAATTAAACATATTAGTTATACTATAAATTGTTGTTTTACGAAAACCACAATACAGTGTAACGACAACGAACTATAGCAATTTTTGATATAGTTGAGCCCTCTATGCACATAATATAGAATTTTATATATAATTTTTAATTGCAAGAAAGCGTTTGTTTTAAGTGATTTTATTTAAAATTTGCACTATTAAAAGGCATTTGTGGATTATACTATTAAATTTGTTTATTGTTCAAATAAAAAGGATCTGCTTAAATTTGCTTTTAAATTTTGAAGCGGTTTTGAAGTAGCGTCAAAATATACAAATATTGTTTTGTGTATATAAAAACCCAATTAAGAAAAAAAATTTCTTAAAAAATCTATTAAAATAAAATGTTCGTGTATATCATTTATTTAACAAATAAAAAAATATTATTCTTTGTACGTGTAACATATACAAATACTCGTACAAATGTTTAATTTAATTAAATTATGAAAAATACAACTAACTACAAATATATTTATCAACCATAGTCGGCTTTCTTTCTTGTTTCTATTTAAAAGTTTTCACTTTACATTCAGACCACTCTTTTTTTAAAATTACAATTACTTTATATTTACTTTTTTTTTAATTGTAATAAAATAATGATTATAATTTTAATTATAAAAAACTAATACCATAACATGCCAAGTTTTTTAAAAAAATAAAATTTTAATTATTAAAAAATTTGTTAAAAAATAAATTAGTTAAACACTAGTAAACACTTTTTTATAGAAGTATTTGATTAAGAAAAAAAACTGGCATAAAACTGATTTTTTAAGACATAATTCATAAATATATATATAAATACAAAGCTAAGAACATAATCTACATAAAACAAATATACATACAAGAAAATATATTTCAAAGAAAACGTTATATCAATACATCTTTTATTTTTATTGAAAAATTTTTAGATTGTAGATATCATCTTCTGTGTTAGGAATCTTATATAGCACTATTGCCAACCAGGTATATTCTTTATTTGTTTTCATATAAGAAATAGAATTGAACTGTTAGAAATTTTTTAACAGTTTGGACTCAAACTCATAAAATTAATAAATTTTATTTAATTCATTCTGAATATAAACTGAATAAATATATTCTATTTGTGAATATTTTTTTTAATGTTTGCTGCTTAAGCCGTAAATAAATGTTTATCTAAAATTATTATATTATACTTTATAATATCATATTACGTATAACCACCATGTCAATATATATTATTTTATATAGAAAGCAATTTAATTTTATAAAATTAAAGCAAAATTTTTAAATTTTTTACGTGTGTTCATAAATTTAAAGTTTTCTAACTTATTTATTTTTACTTTAATATTATTTTCCTTCAGTTCAAAAACAATCTCAAATATTAATAATATTGCATAATATATTAACTATTATTATTAGAATTAATAGTTATTGTGGCGCTGTTGCTTTTTCATATAAGTTTACCAAATACACAGAAGCTAGGCATAAAATATTTTTGCATAGATGCTCTTATTTGTGCATTTTAAATCGTTTAAATATTTTTAAAAATTCTAAAATATATACTTGCAAAAGCTTATTTTCTTATTTAGCTTTACTGTATTCATTTTTTGCTAATATGACTTTCGCATTTTAGTAGTAGTTCTAACTTTTTTCTCCAGTTTTCTTTAACTTTTTAAATCTTTGATTTTTAGTTTGTGTTTAGATTTCTAGAATATATTTAATTTGTATATAATTTTTATTATATGTTTTACATAAATAAACTAATAAGATCTCAGTATGAATTATGCTTCTTTCTAACCACATTTACAAATCATGCTTAGATTCTTCATTTATTTTCAAAGCACATCTTTCACTAAACGTTTCTGTTCTGTTTCTGTTAAGCATAATAGTTTTGCTTTTTAATTTCTTTCAATATATACGGTTTTATTTATATTTTCATCTTTCATAAACTATGCATACTTGCAATTTCATATGTTATTTTTAAAGCCTTAATTTCTAGTAACCATAATTTGTCGCATAAATTATCTTAAAATAAATATTTACTTTCCCATTCATGCAAGCTATCAGAAGTATATTTTCTGCAACATTTTCAAACTCACAGCAATGATATATCTAAACGAAATAAGTTTATAATAAGACATAAGACTTAAATTAGATCAATAAAATATTACCTTGGTTATCGTGACTATCAGCAGTGACTAGTGTTGCTGTAGTTGTTGTAGTCAGTAAACTATTATTATTATTGAAATTAACTGTATTAAGGTCTTGTGACTCAATGCTTAGATCAATCAACTGATTCGGTGCTACATCTTGTAAAATATTAATATCGCTTAAAAAATTAAAAAAAAGAACAATTAGATATATATATATATATACATACAAATTTTTATATTTATAACGTACATATAAACATAGCATAAACATACATGTACATAGTATTTTAAAATATCATATATTTATTATTAATATATATATAAATATATTATATAGAAAAATATATATTTATATGTTTATATATACATTACATTAAGTATATATAGTATATATATACATTATATTAAATACATATTATATATATATATACATTATATTAAATATATATTATACATATATATATTAATAAATATATTAAAAATTAATAGCAAACATAAATTACTTTTTGTTATTAATATTTTCGATATGACCATTCCCATTGGCCACTGTAGTTGTTGTTGTATTTTGAAATATAATATCATCAGCATGCAGTTTGCCATTTGTTACTTCAAGAATTTGTGGTTGTTGTTGCAATTGTTGTTGTTGTAAATTTTTTACATTTTCTCCAATAATCATATTGGAGAAACTATTAATAAGTGAATTCTCCTTATCAATAACTGCTTGCTCATACATAGCCTGAGTGTTAGGAGCTTCATTACTATTCCTAACTGGCATTTGAGTTGGTATAGTTGCAGGTGTTGGAGTAGTTGTTGTAGTAGCTGTTCCTGAAGTTGAATTACTATCACTACTTGAATTTATTTCTGTAGAAGATGGTTGTGAATTTTCTTGATCATTTGAAGTAGTTTTTGGAGAATCATTTTCCTATAAGAAGAGAGAGAGGGAGAGAGAGATATTTAAGTAAATTATTGTATATAATTTACAAATCTATAATTTATTTACTTTTACAGGTGTGGAATTAGGCGTAGCTGCAGCACCTCCTCTGCGTGTACGTGACATAATAGCTTCCACACGTTTTCGTCTTTCTTCGCGTTCTTTTTCTTCTCGTTTTAAGCGTTCGGCTACTTCAATTCTTTGCTTTTCAGCTTCCTCTTTCGCTTTCTTTTCGGCTTCTTCACGCTCTAATCGCAGTTTATCATCTTCTTCACGTTTGAGACGTTCTTCTTCATCTCGTTTTTTTGCTTCCTATATGTATATATATATATATATATATATATTATTTAATTAAATGAAAATATTACAGTTTCAAATATTATTCAAGTTCTTTAAAGCTTAGAAGCTTCGAGCATTATTATGCTTAAGTATGCCTGACTAGAAAACACAACAGATCTGTTGTTCGAACATTCTCTAACATAATAATTTATGAATATTAAATTATTCAGATTTGTGATGAAGTGTTGTGAAACCCTGTCATTATTGGATATTTGAGAAAGTTTTTTCTTATAGATTCTTATACTCTTTTTAGTTTCAA